TAAGTGTTGCAGTTATTATTTCCCACCCTAAATTTACAAAAAATTCTTGATAAAAAAAAATACTTAAACTTCACAGATTAGTCAGTATTCTAAATATTTCTTTGTATGGAGTTTAATAACATTAAAACGAATAATGAACAGGATAGGTCAGTAAATTTTGTGAAGTTTAAATAAATTAAGAGATGAGATGCACAACCTTTCCTGGGTGCTCCTCACTTCAGCATTCAATAACGGAATTAAGAGCGGTGTATTTTTATATCAGGTAGAAATATACCAGGTTTTTATAATAATCTCATATGATTAATCCTTTTTCTTATTTCTAATCACTGCACATCTGCAGGAACGAGGATTTTAAAGTTTAGCTTCAGGTACAAGCATCTCAAATTGTTCAAACATGTATAGCAATGTACTATGGCTACATTTTATAAACTTAAGCTTTCCTTGTGACTAGTACCTTTACTATGAAAAAGGGTGACAGACCCAAGTTTTTAAAAAATGCAGTACTTCTAAGTGAAGCAGATAACATTGGGGATAAAAATGTGGTTCTTTCGAGGACTACAAAATATTGTAATAAACAATCATGTCTTCTTTAACAAGGTTTTGTAGCTGTGTCACCTATTTTGATTGATGTATTTGGTGTAATTTTTTAAAAAGAAATTAATGTCAGTGTAGTGTCTCCTTCTGGATCATGTATACTTTTACACTAACCTACAAAGTTGTTTTGTTGTATGTATGTATTCCATGTTGAATACCTTGGCTACTTGAGCTGTGTCTACAGAAATGAGTATGGTTAATGAGCATCTGGCAAATTGTCTGATATGCCACTAAATACTGTCCACATGCCAGATGAAAGGCCAGATAGCAGGGGGTCTGGCTATTTTGCTTAAGAAGAGGCAAAGTCACTTCAGTGGTTTAAGCTTACTATAAACAAGATTTTTTATTTAGGAGGGTCACAACAATACCAAGAATCATTTTTTTTGTTTATTGTAAAAGTACATTTAAAAAAAAGGGGGAAAAAATTAAACAGGCATGTATAATTCTAGTCATGAATAATGCTTGATATATCTGGCATAAGGAAAAAGAAATGTCTTTTGCAGAGACTGCTGCAATGAATAATCATAATTAAGTTATGATAATCTACTATATATATAATATATATGTGTATTATGGATTTAGATAACACCAGATACAGTTCATGGAATTACATTTTTTTGTACATTAATAGGATTTCTACACCAAGAGCTTCTCAACTTCCTGGTGCATCATTGTGATTTGCTGCTTCAGCTGAGATCCTTCATTGGCCATGATAGCACAGGCCATGACAGCCCTCGACACACCACAGGCACGGCCCAAGGCAGTCTTTGAGCGTACAAAGACGTAGGGGACATTTTTGTCCTCGCACAGCAGAGGGAGGTGCAGCAGGATCTCTAGGGGCTCTGTGTCTGCCGCCATGATGATCATTTCAGCCACACCTCGGTTTAGGGCCTGAAAGAGAGGTTGGCTTATAGGTTGGTTTTTGCTTGGTCTCTTTGGGAACATTAGGAACATTAACCTTAAAAATCAATATCCTTTGTATCCTAATAATCTGTGACTTGCATTTTCAACATGGTGCCAAGAATGAAAATCTATTTCAGATTTCTTACTTTTCAAGGGGAAATTGTACACTGGAAAACCACTGCAGGCCAAACTTCAACAAAGTGGATACAAACACCTTGACAAATGGCTTTTATGATTTGGGCTAATCTGATTATTTTAATCTAGTTTTGTATGTACAGATTTTTATTATTCTTACATTACAAGTACTTTTCCCCATTTCCTTGTATCTTACAGCAATCTCTTAATAATGAAGATCTTATATTCAACAATTATGTGGAAAGTAACTACCAACCTTTGTGGCTTCATTAGCTCCCTTCTTCAGTTGCTTATAGTTGGCTGCTTGTTGCACCAAGTTGAGGAGCTTCTGGGTGAGTGTTGCCTCAGCCAGAGGAAAGGCCTTGGGGTTTACTTCTCCTTCAGGCTGTAAAATACAAGGATAAGAAATACAGATAAAAGGAAGTTAACTTTAAATATTTTTGATATTTTAATTTATTTTGCAATGGGGCTCGCCTTGCTTTAAAATACTATCCATGTGTTTCGAACTGACTAAGGGTTTTTAAAGCAGAAATAAAATGAAGACATACAAAAACATTGCTTTTTGGGAAACATTCATCTTACACAACTTGTTATAAAGCATGAACATAGTATGAAATCAAGAAGACATGCTGTAGAAGAATCACAAATGAACAATTCAGGTCTAAAGATAAGCAGACCATCTCAGGAGAACCTTCTAAGAGATTCTCAAAGAGCCTCCATCACTGAAAGAAAATGAACAACCTGGAATCTCTCCATTTCATTTGGTGAATCAATGTGTTGTTGACGACACCCGGCAGCAACCAACCCGTGCTAGAAGGTCGTAATGATGTCAATTATCTCATTACGACCTTCTAGCACGGTAAGGGTGCTTTTAGTGCTGGCCCAAACTGAAGCAATTCAATAGAAGGTTGCGAAGCACATAGCTGTGTACCTGTCGCTGCACATCTGCATTTCTTCAACATACAATATATAAAAGGTATACTACACAAAATCTTGGAAGCCTATTTCACATCTAGTCTAATAAATCTAAGCTAAAACCACCAGAGACGGCTAATGTCTCGTCACATTCCAAGTGTCATGATCACCAGAATGTGATTCCACAGTACACTAATTTATACACTAACCTTGCCATACAGACTTCCCTCATTAAACAGTTAATATAGCTCCTTTGCAATACTAAAAACACTTTCCTCAAATATAGATGTTTAACCAAATAACATACAAGATCTGTTATTTCCCATCTCCTAGACTAGGGGAAAATGATCTTTAAATATATTAATAACTATTGTGTAACTTTCATGTCACCCCATTCCTTTGCGAGTGTAAAGACACAAAGTAGGTGAAACTTTTATTCCAGATGCTACTAGTTAACCCAATGCCGCCAGGTGGTTTATATTCATAGTGGCCCGGGCCTCACTGCTGGGGATCGTGTTGGCACCACAGTGTGCGTGGCATGACTGTACATGCCCCTGGAAAACAGGATTGGCACACCATGGCACTTATGCACATGCCACCTTGAATATAGGCCAAGCATGCCATGACATGTACGTACATGCCACCCAGCAGGAAGGGGTTAAATATCAATGTTGTTAAACCTACAATATTTGAAATCAAAATTCATTACTGCTCACTATATTTTTCATTTCTTTCATTAGTTCTTTAAAAAAGGGTTAGAAACTTTTTTCTGAAACCAGATACTTCAGAAAGTACTTCCCCCTCCCCCCCTTCCTGATTTTCGATAACTCTTGTTACTACTCCTATCCTCCTTTTCTGTTACTGGATAACACACACGCAATATGTAAAGAGAAACCTAATTTGTCTGCCTTCTTCAGTACCATTCTTTTATTTTATTAAACATTAAAGACCTTCATTTTCTAACTGCGTGTACCTACCAAGACCACTAATAACTGGCTTCCTTACAACTCAGTAAATCTCAAGACACCTTACAGAAATAGTGAAAAAATAAGTATACAGTGAGGATAAGAAAAAAGAAAAAAGAAAAAGAAAAAACTTGTATCAAGAAAGAAATCTGCCGAGACAGAAAAGAAAATCACAATTACTCAAACTTACTGCCATAGTGACAATGCAATTAACTCTGTACCTACAGCATCCTGAGCAGACCAACCTGCCCTCATCATATACATTATGGCAAGACAAATTTATTGACCCCTTAGCAATTCAGTCATACAAGGGACCAGTTGAAGCGCTTTCTTCCTAAATATATATGATAGAGGGTTGTTGGCCTTTGCCACAGTGCAGGAGAACAGTGCATCAAGGAACTTTGTGTTGTAGACATGTTCATAGTTCAAAAATTAATGTGTTCAGAGGTTTTTGTGAGAACTACAAAATAAAGCAATTAAAGCACAGGCTTAAAAACAAAAGCAATTCTTTTCTTTAGAAGCAGGTTAAGCATTTGAAAGTTGTCAAAGTAGTAGGTGAACAAAGACAAAGCAATGTTAAAATACATGGAATGACTTCATACAAATTCCTTTCAATTTCAACAGCCAGTCAAAGTGGCAATAACATGTATTATAGAATTTTTAAAAATAACACCTTAATCAATTGTTTGTAAATAACACAAATTACTAATAACCTGTCACGAATTACACAAATACAATATATAACTTCTGGTAAATATTTAGAAAACACCCAGAGTGGCTTTCCTCAAATCACAATGTCTGTTCTACCCAACATCACTTTATTCAGTGATGAAGGGCCAAGAAGCAAGATTCAACATTACCTTGTCAAGAAACAATGACAGCTTTCACATAACTTATCCTTCTTGGCTGGGCCGGAAAGGGTACTCGAAAGGTTGGCAGGGGTCGGGAAACCCGAAATAAAAATTAGATAGGCTAGTTGATGAAGGGGCAGGTGTTCATGCCCCTAATAATGGGAAAAGATCATTACTGACCATGGTGAGCCTGAATTAAGTAGGAAGAAGAAATAGTCTATCCTTAGGGACCCCACAAGGGATACACCTTGCCTAATGCTCCATGAAGCCGTTCAGGACTGACAATGGCAGCCTTCCATCCTTTTTGCACAGCTCTCCCATCTTAAGAAGAGGACAGAAGGGAATGAAGAAAAGGAAAAGGAAAGGGGGAGAAGAAAAGACAATGCAAAATTAGTTGTGGAAAGGCTTGGGCCCAAATTGGGTCCAAGTCTCCTTCTCAGGCCCCACAGGATGACAAGAAGCAAGGGATGAGGAGGTTATTCAAAATAACAGCTTTGATTATTACCTTCTTTAGACCTAAGCTGCCAGAGATATCAGAAAATCTTGCCATTACCCCTAGGATACAAGTACATGTCTAGGAATACTTCTTTACAACTAGTTACAACTGCAACAATATGGACTTTAAATCTCTAACCTAAAATTTAGTATACATTTTCAAAAATAATAAAATTGCCATTATCATCAATCAGTTGAGTACAATTATGACTACATATAAACCAAAATAGGGCCATTCTACAGTAAACCTTTGCATCAGTGCTAATGAAACTCAATGGGCTGCCTACTACCTATAGTACTGATCACAAAATTATGGCAATGATAGTGCCCCCAACAACTATGGGACAGCATGAAATTGCCCTGGGGAAGCTCAACATATTACCAACAATAAACTCAAGGTCTAGTAAATAAAGTTGCTGTGCCATCTATATCCCTCACTTGTTACTTTCATTACCATAGTTAAAGTTAGTTTACCATAGTTAAAGTTAGTAATCAATGCAGGGAATCAAATTTCTTCACTGTGGACCATTTCAACAGAACAGGCTAGAGTACAGGTATAAATCATATGCCATCTAATTCTACAGTTAACAAAGCATGTGTTTAGTGTACTTATGTATAATGGCCCTACAACAGTTGGATACATCAATACAGTTTAACATAATTTATATAATTATTCTTTCACATTGAAAGACCTTGGAACAAAAACAAAAGGGTTAATTTTTACAGTACAGACCCACTAAGCATGGGCAAAATATAGATTATTTTTTTGTAGAGGACAAAAGTCAGTCATTGCTACAAGAAATAATCTACAGACACAAACAGTAACCCCACAAATAAAGGGAAAAGATTGTAGATTACCACAAAGAGCGCAAGCCTGCTTGGTGCTCTAAAGTTTTAAGTTCTATCTAGCCGTGCCTACCGAGGAGAAGACAATCCAATGGTATTTGTGATGTACCCTCTACAGGCAAAGTCCCAAAAATGCTTTCAATGCAAACTCAAAAATCCAAACCTAAGTTTTCCTACCTTCTATTTATTCCCATGACAGAAGGGGAAGACAACTCCCCCCCCCCCCATTCGTCGCCTTTCTTTGCACTTGCCAACTTACAGTTAACGCAACATTGAGAACTGTATGTGCAGGTGTTGTGGACTTAGTGGTGATATATGGCAGATAATGTCAATTTCCCGGTAAATATCAGGCTGCTGCAGCTGTACCTGGGTTATTTATAACCCTTTCTTATCCTCTACAAGATGGCAGTCTCCTTTTCCCTCTATCTTTGTGCGTCACTCTTGGTAACATTAACTTAATCCCCACAGTGTTAGGTTTCCAAAACTGATGCAGAAAGAGAAGAGTGAAACGGTCCCATCTTACAGAGAATAGACCCATTTCATTGTTTTTGTTTATTGGGGATGTGCACGCATAGCGAGAGGTAAAACATTTGGAAACTCAAGCAGTGTGGTCTATTGCCTTGGTGTTTAATTTGCTGTTTCTTCGAAATGCCTTCTAGCTGTTGTGCGGTAAATTGTCATAATAGATGCGATAGAAAAATCCGGACGTTTCTTTATATAACATACCGTCAAGGAAGACCCTAATCGAGATAAGATATCGCAAAGAGTGGATCCGTGCCTTAAGAAGAGAGGACTGGAAAGATTGGATGGAAGAACAAATTTCAAAGCAGAAAGTCTGTTCTGAGCATTTTAATTCAGGTATTTCTGGACATATTTATGTTTCAATTGTTTGAAAGAGTTATCTCTTTGGTCAGAACTGGACCCTAACATTGATTTGTATTAACTTTCTTCTTTAGCAAAGTTTTGTGTTACTAGGCCTATGCCATAAGGCCTTTTATAGGCCTATTTAGTTTAAGGTCCCCATTGTTGTGAATTGAGATTGAGAAAATATGGCTGAAGATGTGAAATAATGTTTAAACTGTAATCAAACAAAAATACATCTGGTAATGAAAGATTAACGATCTACGTAACATGAACCAACTGAGGTATGTTTGAAACAATAAAAAACTTAACAGAATGAATGAGAAACTTCATATAACAGCACAGATTTGTTGCTACCTGTTAATCATAGTAAGAAAGCAAAGAAACGTCTAACTCACTTAAGACTTGATGAAAAAATGATTTTGACAGCGAACTTTCATGGAGGTAGCAGTCTTGAACGTGACCTTCTCGGAAGAAATAGTACCCATCTAGCTATTTGTAAGCTTTCCTTGATTCACTAGTGGCGTTTCAAATAAATATACGGTAATATTTGACCAAGAAATTCTGGGTAGTTTAGTAATGTCGTCCGAGCAGCCACTCGTCAGAGCAAGCGGATCTTCCAGTTTGGTCCCATTTGTGAGCGTTAGTTTATCGTCGTATTGTTTCTTATCATCAGAAAGAATGTAATATTAATGTAAAGCCATCTTTGACATTACACCTTCCAAAAAGACCACAGATAAAACAATTATACCGTTGCCATATTTACCTTGTCCTTGAACTCCAGCATCAGTACCATGGATTGTTTGTGCATTTGTCATGGCCCACAAAGAGGGTCTTAAAAGTTATATTCTCCAGTACAGGCAGTTTACATTTCCCCATTTCAACATCATTTCAATAGCCTTTGAAGGTCATAACTAACACCTGCGTCATGTGTA